TGCTAAGAGGGTGAGGTGCAACAACTTTTGGCAAAGTTGGCTCTAGAAAATAGCGCAATGCCCGATGATAGCGCAGTGAGATGGTGCCATCAAATAAGCATACTGCCAACCGAAACGAGCAGCAGTCGGTTCCAAACCCGATTGAGAAAAACAGGTTGGTGTCAGGCAGGCAGCCAGCCAGCCTTAAAAACCAATGCCAAAGTCAAATATAATGAGTCAACTTATCTTTAGAAAGAATCCTAGGCTGTTCCCCTTATGTGACACTCAGCGAAAAACCCTAGCGGCTGTGAGAAATGAGCAAGGGAACCAGTTCTTGAGTAACGGCAATCGCAGAGAGAAAGACATGCCGAAAACGAACCAAAAAGATGCGAATGAAAACTTGCAGTGTTGGAACAGCAACGGGAGAGTGAATGGAGCCAGCGGAAGCTCTTCAGAAAAGAAAAGTTTATACTGCTTGTATTCAAGAGATGAAATGGAAAGGTGCGAAGACGAACGAAATTGGGCTAGGCTATAAACTTATTTAATGTGGAACATCAAGCAGAAGAAATGGAGTTGGAGTGTTATTGAGTGAAGCGATCAAATACGGGGTAACTGAAATCAACAGAATTAACGACAGAATCATGGGCATGAAGCTGACTTTCGAAAGTGGTATCTTAAATATAATAAGTACCTACGCCTCAGAATGAAGCCAAAAAGTCGGCATACTGGGAGAGCCAAGACACTGCACTGCAAAACATATCTCGAGGCGGTGACCTTAATGGGCACGTCGGGAAACATCGAAAAAGTTACGGCAGGATTCATGACGGACATGGACATGGCATGTTATGAAAAGAAGGAGAGACCATGCAGGCAGCAGCTGCATATGATCTGACTATGATAAATACGTTTTTCCAAAAAAGAGAAAACCACCTGCTAACTTACAAGAGTGGGCAGAAGAAAAGTCAGATCGACTGCTTCCTGCACTGAAGGAACGAACTTCAGAACGTCAGAGATTGCAAGATTATCTCTCGGGAAACTGTCATAAGCCAGCACCAGCTACTGACCCTAGACCTATGTCTCTGATACAGCTCATTCAGACGGTGTGTGAGGCGACAGTCTTGAAGACACAGTGGTGGAGGTTCGAAGCGAAACAGAAAGAAACGTTCAAGTTACTAGAAACATGACGAAGGAAGACTGGAAAGAAAAAGGAACTAAGTATGGGAGAGGATGGCTAGCACAATCGTATTGGAATACCAAAGATGTACCCTGAGAAACAAAAAGCACGGCACGTATACAGAAAGAAACGTGATGATGGAATGCGGATGTGCAGACGACCCTAGTACAGAAGAGCAGTTTAAGAATGGCAGTTATCAAACAGCGCGGAAGACAGAGTAAAATATGCTAGCTCGAAGAGGGGGCAAAAAAGTGGTCACGGAAGCAGTCTACAGCATGCAAGAGCCTTTACGAAAAACTGGCCAGGAAGGAAGGAGAGGAAGACATACATGGCATAGCAAAAGAGGAAGAATAAGGAAAGAAACGCTGGTAAAGTCCTCGAAACATACAAAGCATGCAGACTGGACATTCACATGGAGTTCTTAGACACTGTGAAACTTTTTGACCAAATCCCGAGGTAAACAATCAGGTAATCTGGTGAAGCATGAGAAAGAAGATACCAGGAAAATGCCAGGCTTGCCAAAGATATGTACGATGGATTGAAGTACATGCAGTGAAAACAAGCGTTCCCTGCGCGGACCGTAGTCCACCAAAAATCCGCACTGAGCCCACCTCTGCTAATGTTGGCGACAGAGGCGATAACCATTTCATCCTGCAAAATAATGCGGAAATCGGCAGCGATATAAGAAATCGATCGTAAAAAACTTTGTTTCAAATGAACAGAGGTGAGACAAGAAGATTTTCATCAAACTGAAGGGAAAATGTACAGAACGACAGTAAAACCAGTGCTTCTATACGGAGGAGAATGTTTGGTTGGCAAGAAGAGACATGAGACATTGCTGAGCTCGGTAGAAATGCGAATGCTCAGATGAATGTATGGTGTCAGCAGAAAGGAGCACATCCAAAACAATTCCATAAGAGGCAGTCTAGACGAGGTAGCACCAATTTCAGACAAGCTTATCGAAAGCAGGCTCAGCTGGTAGGGTCACGTGAAAAGAAGACTCATCAAATACGTTGGAAATGTGGCCCAAGCTTTGACACTGCGAGGGAAGAAAAGAAGGTGAAGATTGGAGAAAAGATGCCATGATATCTTAAAGAACGATATGAAACTGCGTAGTCTCTGAAGATCTAACTAACGACAGCAAAACGTAGAGGAGATTGAAAGGATTAGCGGACACCTGTAAAAGGAACATGCTAGGAAAAAGATTCTTCAATGTAACTTGTCTCGGCAAAACATAACCATCGTGATATAAAAAAACTGCATCGATATAAAATTAATATTTTTTCTGCGTACAACTGAGAATTTCAAATTACTGTTAACATACTGTTGATGCTTTTACCTGTCTGTAATGACAGTTGTTCAAGTAAAAAAAACGCCTAAAAATATTATGGAGCAAAACAGCAATGTTTTTTAGTTCGAAATCAATGTTTAAATGGAAAACGAGGCTGACTTTTTGAGAGAAATAATTCTGAGGGAGTACTCACCAGTACATATGTTGACACTGATTCGACGAAGCAGCGAACAACTCTTTCCAAGGAGCTTCAGCCTTCTCAGGCATAATCTAAAATGTCTAAGGATAATAAGTGATAGAGAAAACAAAAGAATATGTCAAAGTGGATATTAAACACCTATCCGAGAAACAAGAGCCCCATTTCGAGCCCTATCACGACGATTCGTAATTAAAATTTCCTTTCTTGCATTCTCGACGTGTTTCTATTCTGGAATACATACATTACGGACTGAAAATCATTCAAAACAAAATATCAAGAATGTCTGAAAGATAAACTGTCAGAACGAATATAATGAGAATAAAAGTTTGACATAAAATTATACTTTATCATTAAGTAAAGCCACTGGGAAGGTTTACAATAAGCAGCTGTAAAAGCAGAAGTCCAGCAAATTAACTTAAACAAGGAACATTATCACTTAAAGAACAAAGACCCACTTGTTATGCTGAGACGATGGATGATAGTAGACCAGTAGAACTAGACTTGATAACGAAATACCAAGGAAGAAAACAAAGTCTCGATCCTAATCAAATAAAAAAATGCAAGAAACTCAGGAACTGTGCAGCACGTGGCGCGGTCTCCCCTGTGGTCAGAGTACATGACTAAAGGCGCGTAAACGAAAATTAATCACCCGGTCGCAAGACAAGGTCAACCGGGATAATGGATATGAACTGTAGCAGAATCGATGAGCCTTGTCCTCGCCCTAGTCGCCAAGGAACTACCTAACTAGTAGTGCAGTCGAAAAGCTCGCCTCATGGCTTTACACGTACCAAACGCTACGAATAACAAAACGATTTCCGAAGTCAGCCAGCCACCCGCTCTACCTTGAAGAGAGCATGGTCAATCAATCATTGTGTATACTATGGGTCAAAAATCGACGCTGGTCAATCATCTGATTGTGCATACTATGTGTTGTACATAAATAAACTGTCCTGCTGTGCTAAAAAGTTCACCAACGAGGCAACCGCACACTCAATCACAGAATAAATTTTATAAACGTGAAGAGCAAATCTGAAAAAAAAATTTATCGAAACAGCATTTCCCTGATGAAACGAATAGGCTCCATCGAGCAAACACATTTATCACAGAAAAATATTAAAAACAAGTTGCTATCATTAACGCAGTCAAAATCAGATAAAACTAACCTTCTTGTAACGCTGCTTGATATGCGACAGAGTTTCAACCCTAGAATTTAAGCCGGTATTAGGTCTGTACAAATTAAACAGCTTTTCGCCCGTGTCGATGTGTCGTTTGTTTATAGCGCACACCAAAGCTATGAACGTTTTCTTTTCGTTCTAAAATGTTGGCTAAAATTTTCTCAGCAGCAAACATTACTTACCCCACAGGCATAAAATCCGTCGTCTTCGCCCATGTGCTCACAGTATACTTCCATCGCTTCGCTCCATGGCATACCACGTTCAACACAAACCTGACGTTAAACCATAGTTTAAACTAAGCACTTAACAAAGAGGTGAATACCGTGTGAAGCTCCGTCTTAAGACCTCCAAGCTGAAACTGACCAACGAATACTTTCGTCTCTAGCTTTTTAACCTTATCATTCTTTTGCCCGAGATCTAAAACAAATAGAAACGATATTACTAAAAAATGAGGATGGAAAAATAAGTTATACCCAATATCCCTAAATCATATCGACCATCTCGTTTCGCCTGCTCGATAATTTCCTTCAGCGTATCTGAGAAGTACTGAAAGAGACAATTTTGTGTCTTGACAGGTAGACCAAGAATTCTGTTCAAGAATTTGAACGTATTGAGATCCTTTTCCAATGAAACAGCACCCGTGACCCCTTCACGAACGACCAAACCAATTCCCTCTAGATACTGCTTCATATCTAAAGGAAGATAAAACACAGTGCTAACTAATGGTGACAATAATTTAGACAAACGAGCTTAAAACTTAATATACGAGAATAAAATACATTTAGGGGTACATACTGGGTTGACCCTAAAAACTGGCACCAGAAGCAAATAAGAGACTTCTTTCATAGAACTTCGTTTGTACATTATACAAAGAGGACAATAAACAATGGCGACATCGCATGCTACGGCGATATGCAAAAGATGGAGCCGTAAAAACAACCTTAAAATAATATTCGACTTTGGTGACTTTTTATCGTAATTAACGTGGATCGACATAAAAAGTTTCGATGACCAGGTTCGTTTAGCTTGCAACCACTGGGTTACCAATCTGCAATGCTGAAGTTCATCTGTCATGTCATACGATGTAATCCGATTCGAGCAACACGCAAGGGACTCCGGGATATTTTTGTTTTCGCATTTCATTCCACCTGATTTTGGCAAATGGTTTTGGCTAGAGTATAAACCTGTCAAGCGTCTTGGACAGAAAAGATTATTGGTTGTAAAACTCTGAATCTATAGTTCCAAACGTCCCAAAGCGTGCGAGATATCATTGCTGCCTCTAAGGAAAATCAGTTGAGAAACAGAAGGACCTCTGACGTTAAAAATAGCTTTCAGGATATTGCAGGTTATCATCAATACTTTTCTGAAAGGGCATAATAAAACTTTATTATCGTGTCGCCTATCGTCTAACTGGAAGATGAAGTTTAGAAATGAATGCTTAGCTAAATAAAGAAGTACCTATACATATATGTCGGCATCTGCATACAAACGAAAAACATAATATGAATTAATGTGGAAAATGAATACTAATTATGTCCCTTCATCTCCAGCATAGGCGGCAGTGATTCAGTGGTTAACACATGAACAGGAGACAAATACTTGAGTCCTTACTTCACATCATCCCTGTCAAACTTTCGGCAGCAAAAACACCCTTTTTCATCAGAGCCGTGTCTACGTATTGATTTGATCACTGTGGGAAAGGAGACAATAGGAAAAAATGGGGTACGGCGTTTTGAATAAATTTCTTTGTGCATCACCGACAATATGTTAAAAGCGCGCTCAAGAACGATATGTGAGAATCGAGAAAACAACAGGGGGTGCAAGCTATCAACTTTGATGACTTCTCAGCATGGCATTCTCGCCGTAAGACATGGCGGAGCCAGCGGACGAGCAACTATAATTTCTTGATTTTTTTTCTCCGGGAGCGAGCACCATTCACAAGCCTAAGGTAAAACCGATCTAACAATGACATGAGAACATGAGAACCTTTCTTTTGTTCAGAGAGGCAGCAATTTAGTCTTTCAACCGACCTTTGGCAACATAAGGATACCAAAATGCTTGTAAGCGCAAGCTTCTTCAGTGTGGTTGAATCAACGCAGAGTGGCTGAATTTAAATTAGTCTTCCTAAAGCCTGAATTAAAATTTACTGTCTATTTGTTGCAACGAATTTTCAATCAGAAATTAGCTAAATCAAAGTGAATTGTAGACGGAATGCGCACGCTTCCAGCATCATCAACACAGACCTCACACTCCTTGGCTTGACCTCACAAAAAACACTATGCCGACCGTAGTAGTATTCGCAGGTTAATGAGCTGCCACCCATGTTTTGGATGGCTGCAAAAAAAACAGCGAGGCGAATTCCTTGCTCAAAGGAATTAGCAGTTAAAGAAGAGAAGAATAGGTGAAAATTAATGCATCGACTGGGGAATAAATCCAACAAATCTAAAGTACTAAGCAAAATTCTAAGCCCTTTGTGCCACTGCCCCCTATCACACGAGTGAATTTTCGCTTTTAAAGCACCGATTTGCAGTAAAAGAGGATGCCCCTGCATTTATACCGCTAAATTTCATGTTAGAACATCTTTATTGCAAAATATGAGCACTAATTTACGAGCTAAACCTCAAATGACAAATTTACCTTCGAAGAAATCACCTTCATAACCAGAAGGGGGTTGAACGATCGGAGACATGTACGATATGACTGATTTCAAAGCAACGTCGAGAGCCACGCGACCGTATTTCGTGTCCACGTTGAACTGACTCAAATCTCGTGACTCCGTAGCTCGACGATCTCCATGAGTAAGGGCACCCTAAAAGTGATCGTCCGTGAGCATGATAAAAACGTCAAAAGCGCAATTCGTACTAAGCTTTCCAGCCGCTTGGCAACCACCGATGCAAATCGCTGCTCACCGGCCAACTCAGATATCAAAAAGATGTACTCGGGAGAGTTCACCTGATTCGATCGATGAGTTCGTCCTACAAAATAAAGCGCATTAACAGAAGCACTGCAAAAGTTAGATATCGACTACAGATATTATTACTATCATTAAAAATTGATTTAATAGGGGTTAACTGCTCTTTCTCTATTCAAAGGAATGACGGTATGAAGCATAAAATTGAGCCGCATGTTCTGGTCCGATACAATCATCGTGTTGACAATATCGGCCGCTAGCGCGTATTTCTCTTTATTTCGAATATTCCAACACTTGCCGCATCGTTTTCCTGAACAATGGCAGTACCACGTCACAACGTGATTATAATACTTCATTTCGGTTTTTGGATTTTTTTCTGAAGCAAATTTCAGATGTCAAATATTTCTAAGGTTCAGTCATAGGCTTTCAGGCTGGCCCAACAGAGCAGAAACACTTATCGGCAACACCAAATCCATTTTCGCTGTGCGTCCCTAACAGCCAAGCGTATATATTTATTTACACTTAACTGATCCGTCTTCCTAATTAATGGGGATCACCTTTGCCCTGGTAGAGACGCCAACATTTGTCTGCGTCATACGAATTGCCTCTCACAGCTTCCATACATCTCATTTAGCTCATCGCTCTATCTGAGTTCAGGTTCTTCTAACATGGCGCTTACAGTCTCTTGTAGACCAATTAGTCACCGTTGACATCCGTCGGTTATATGTCAATCGTACGACATGACCTGCCAATTCCAATTTTCCTTTTTGAAACTGGCACAACGTCATGTATTCCCGCAGGTCTTCTCTAATTCATTCTTTCGGAGCTTGTCCCGGAGGAAAATTCCCGCATCCTCCATTCCATAGCCCGTTGTTGCACTCGCAACAGTTTTTTATCCTTTTTCTTAATGCTCAATTCTCGTAACTTAAGCGGCGCTTCACACAACGCAGATAGCCGCCATCAGTAATTTTTTATTTTCAAGAAGGTCAGACCTAGCTGATTCCGCAGAACTGTAAGCAAAATCAAAAGATAAAACCTAGATGTTCTGGAGTAGCTTCCATAAGCGGGAGATTTCAATGCTGAAGGTAAATAAATGCCACGCCTCAAATACCGATACAAGCAAAAGGAGATTTTTCCTTTACTTTACACTGATACTGCGATAGCGCAAGATCGATAGAAGCTTTTACACGGGGTTGTGCTACAATATTGCCATGCCCTTTGCATCAAATCGGCGAGAGGCGTTATTTAAGCAGGCCATGGTTCCATGGTATTTAAGGGCCTGCAATGGTCTCTCGCTTGGGTTGAACAAAAAGCTCCATTCAAGCTTAAAAAGAGTAAGAAAAAACAGTTGACTCCGGCCCACTTTGCTTTTCGCTGTCATGTTCTTGCTGTCATAGCACAACTTCGTCCCTTTGCTTTTATCTTAGGACCTTGATCTTCACCACGAATGGAATCCCGGTTTCAGCCCACTTCTTCGTTACTTTCGTGACGATGAAAAGCATCCATCTCAGTACTCAAATTTCGAAAAAGTTCAGCCGATATTTCTTATGTTTTCTGTGAGACGGCATTCTGTGCATTAAATTGCTGCGTCATTCATCCTATTGCTCGTGATCTCTTATTGTATTAGAACGTCCAATTACAATCAATCAAAATGAGGATATGCTTTCCAGCAGATGTCAGAGAACCGACCGGGGGTGCACTGAATTCTGGTTTCCGCACAAAGATGAGGAAGCGAGCACTACCCAAACGAAAATGTCAAATGGAGTGCAGATAAGTGAACAGATGCGCAAATCACGAAAGAATTCAATGGGTGAAAGTTTCTGTCATTTCTAAAAGTGACCAGAGCCAATTCCAGAACGAAGCAAAGCAAGTATGCCGCCAAGACAAACAACAGACTGTTTCTTCAGAAGGGACCAAGGCTAAAGGATAGTCCACGTTGGCTACGCATATTCTGGCAGATGCTTTGAACATAACTGAGCCAAATAAAAGCTGTACGTCATGATCTGGTCTTTCATTCATATGTAGCACCCACTTGATTTCGCAACAATGTCGGCTAGTAAAATCGAGACGTGACAGAAGATTGCTACTCCTACCGACGGTATTGATAAATTAGCCATTTGCTAGTAAACCCAGTATAGCAATCCTAATTTTCATTATAGATGCCTACGGACTGAGATATATCCGTTGTGTTCGATCACGTTTTTCATTCCATCCAACCGAATACTACATAGTGCCGTTTTACTTCCAGTCAATGAAGGTGCTTAAATACCACAAAGCCGTCGCAAAATAATAAACGATCACCATGGTTGCAAAAAGAAAGAGCACGGTACAACTACGCTATGCGAATCCGGAGAAGTGACAAGAGATTGTTGCTCTTATCCGTGGTATTGAAAACTAGCAGTGTGTTAGAAAACCCAGAACACCGGAGTGAGTTTTTACAACACCATTTTGTCATATTTCAACACCAATCAATTTTATAGAATCCAAGTTAGACGGACAAACTGCGATTTTTGCACTCACCAAATTGCTGTATAGCTTTATCGGCAGACCAAGGAAGCTCGAGTGTTATGTGAACCCGTCTACGTTGATTTTTCGCCCGTCGATCTGACTGAAGGGAAATGCCAGAGCTAGCAGCTTCCGAGATGATAGCAATTCGCTAAACGTACGAAAAGTTAACAATTTTCAGCAGAAGGAACAGAATAATCACAAACCTTCGTTCCATTCATAAAACGCTCCTTTTCTGCCATATTAAGCATTTCCAGGGGCACATCGCCATCATTCCTAAGTTCATACTGCACCTGTCCGTCGTCCTTCGATACGACTCTCCCCTTGCGTCCGGTCATCTGAAATAAACCACGGTCGCGCAAATGAATGATAGGAATGCTAAACCAAAGCTACTCACCTCAGCGACGTATTCGGGACCACCAAGTTCGTTAATCAACTCGTCCAAGGTGTTTGGTGGCAAAACGTCACCAAGCCGTTCTATGGCAGCAAGCAAATCAGCTTTCAGGACTTGAGCTTGGTTCAAACCCAATTCGGTTGCCAGTCTGCCAGGGGCGAACTCTGAACAAACATAATATACCTATGTCGTCGGAAATAAAGCTATATCTAGATTGTAAGCGAAGAGAAAGTTTGTCTCAAGATGAAGTTCAGGGGGAACAAAACGATAATTTCAAAATAAAGTTCATAAAAAATTTATACATCTATACTTCTCGCGATTTAAATAGCTCAGAACAGAGTGACGAGGAGCGACCGCCATTAATCTTCCTAGGTAGAAGAAGAAGGTTCACGAGATATGGACAAAAAGCGGATAGCATCGAATACTGCATCATACCTCGTTCTGTTTAGTAAAACCCGTATATCAAATGTTCAATAGACTTAACGCAATTCGAAACTTTTTTTGGCTGGGAACTACACAAGTGCTGATGTACAAACTTTAATAACCAGCGCCGCAACGTCAACTGTCTACAAATTCACCACGAAAGACTGTTAGGCGAACTGGCCACATTTTTGCTTCAAGGAGGATGATATCGCCTTAATGGCACCGAATGCTTCGAAATTGTGTTTATGCCAAACAGCAGAAAATCGAAACTGCAGATGGAAACTTTGGCATCCCAAAGGTCTTTTACTGCTAATTCGAAGGTCACGTCAGCATGGGCTCTAAATTACTTGGATTTGAAGTTCAAGCAGAAGCTGACCCGACACGATCAACCTGCGGTCATAATCATCAAAACAAGAAAGTCCTGCAACTATCTCTTACGACTGCGCCGCGTGGGGGCCAGCGTCCCCTACCGCTGGGAATTTCCCCAAAGCTTCAATATCGCAATACTGATATTCGCCGCCTAAGTATGCATTGGTGCCTATGCAACTTGAAATTATATCGCACTACGCCATGCAATCAGTACGATTGCGAGAACCGCTGGTTTCGGCTCCCAGTGTACGCGCAGATGATAGCAGTCAAAACTGCCATCAACGTTATCCGTCGTCTTGAGTACAAAATTCTCGCTAACCCCATTGCATGCTCTCAACAGTGACGTAACTCAGAATCGTTATCGCTCAGACCAAAACAGTCATCGTTCTTCCGCTAGTCAAAACAGAAAAATACAGATGCTGAGTGGTTCCTCAACTTATCCGCACTTTGGTGGACCTGTGCCAACACCCGCGACAAGACCCACTTGTACTTTACAAGTGCCCAAAGTTTTGTTTCTCTTGTAGGCCTTTGATAGACTATGCCACATTTGCTTGCAATACACAAAATCTGCACCTGAATCAATAGTGAGTGAGACAGTTTAGATGACATCTGATCCTTTTCGGCTGCGCAAACAGACGCGTCAGGCAGTGTCCAGCCTTGATGTTGGAGCAGAGTCTGTCGAGACACTTGCCAAGGTAATTTTTCGCCCTTCCCACAGTGATCGGCCGGCTCGTTGTACAGCAAATAGCTGTTTCGCCTTCTTCCTTTCGACTGCATTTGAGAAGTTTCAGGTGCCCAAACCATCGAAGCAGTGGCTTCTTAATTTGCACAAGGCTCTCGCGGACATCTGACTGTCTCGGAAAAATCCTTGTCGAGAGGCGTGATTCCAGCAATTAGACATAGAAAGCCCATTTCAGCTGCGTATATTCAGGAACGAAGATTTTGAGTCATAGCCCACGACTTATAAATGAATATGGAGATGAAAACTGACTTCAACAAAGAGAGCTTTATCTTTTACACTTAGCTCTGCCTTAGTCATAGCGGTTCGGTATAATTCATGCAAAACAAAGCTTGTTATCCAAATTAACCGGTCAACTGTCTCATTTACAGAAACCAACAAACATGGATAGGTGATCTTTATCTGTTACACCGCTTCCTCATTTACTTGCAGAGCTGTCAGAACAACGAGAAAGCACTAGGCCTTTCATCTAAGACAGTTCACACGTATGCCGGCCAGGTTTTCCTTAACTAAAGAGCCCTTCCTGCAAAACCTTCCTTCAGTTTTAGAAAATGACAAGATCATTCTGCAAACAACAGACTTCTGTGATGACATGGCCTGAATCTGAATAAGTCCCTCAAAAAAAATTTCTCGGTTATTTACAGTACCATGAACAATAAGAAAAAATGAATTAAAATTTAAATCCAAGTAAAAAATACCTGTGGAATTGAACAAATCGCTCGGAGTCCGAACGACGTCATCTTCTGCAGTAGCCTTAGTATCGTCGTTTTCATTTTCAACGTTGGCGGTCTCTTCTTCGTTGCTTGATTCGATTTTACGTCTCTTTCTGCTTTTCCGTCGCACCTTCTTCTGTCGCTTACAGGTTTTCATTTTCTCTTCCCATGGATCTGCTAGAAGCGGGGCATACGTCTGAGAACGTTCAGTGTTTTGAACAGAGCGTCGCTTACCGCTATCGCCGGAAAAGTCGTCGGCGAATGGATTCAGAGAGTCGTTGAGCGCTTCGGAGTCGCTACTGTCCGCCTCCTCAGCATCAGATGAGTCTCGTTCACCACTTGACCCCTCGCTGCTTTCACTTTCTTCAGAATCGCTGCTACTGCTGCTGCTATGGTCGCTGCTCCTTTTCACACTAGAGCTGTCGCTCTGGTCGTCCGACAGACGTTCACCATCGGGCTGTTCAACGCGCGGTCGCTGCCGTTCTCGCTTTCGCAAAGACACTATACAGAAGCAACATGCGCTTAAAAACCGAGTAACAACAAAAGAAGATATACAATTTTTCTTCCACGACGAAACTGAATCGGTTCCGGCATTTCGCAGCGATTCGTCGACGTCATTTTGATCAAACAGCGTTTTCCTGACGGTATATTTGTATTTGGAAGAACTGTCGATTGCCGGGAAGTGCTTCTCGACCAACGACTGGAACACACCTCTACAAGAAAATGGGTGTGACGTAACGCAGAGAGCCAAAAGAAGTTTCCCTGTTCGCTTACTTTGCCGTTGATACAAAATCGGTCAGCTCGCCGCCGTACTCGTCCAGCTGTTCTAATGTTCGTGCCTCGCCGGTCGACTGCAGCCCAATGACAATGCACTGAAGAAGAAAACACCGATAAATCAGTCGAGCGACCAGAATGACGCAGACGACGAATGGCTAATTCGAAAATCACCAACCT